TGAGATGCCTGGGTGCTTTCTTGGCTCCTGCCAAGTCTGTCCTATTAGAAGGCAGGAGGCTGGGAAAGGAAGTGGAAAAGCCAAGGCCCAACTCTCAGGCACCTTGCAAAATCATTTTTTGCTTGCTTGCTTGCTTGCTTGTTTTGTTTTTTTTTGAGACAGGGTTTCACTGTGTAGCTCAGGCTGTCCTGGAATTGTGTTGATCTGGCTGGCCTCGAACTCACAGAGATCCCCCAGCCTTGGCCTCCAGAGTGCTGGGATTCAAGGCATGCCCCACATGCCTTTATATTTCTTAAATGCTGGTTCCTTATGTATGTAACAAGTACATTATCTCATGTAAGGAGGGTGATTCAGTGTATCCCAGCACAGCAGTGGCATGAATGTGAACACATGAAGACAGAGTTCAGTTTCCTTTTATTTTTCTCTGTGTGCCACAACCATGTCTTCGTACAGTTAAGGTGGAGAGCAGGAAATAATCTCATTGCAGGATTTTGTTCTCTTCGGGCTTGAGATGCTGTGGTTAGTTTTGGCCTTCTGTTTCTCTTCTCCCAGACAGCCCTGCTTGAGGAGGAGGGTGGGAAAGCTTGGGTGGCCAGGCCTGTCTGTTTGCTGTGGCTCTTCATTTCTGTGGCTCCCTTTAAGCCATCAACTTCCCTACTAGTTCCTTCTAGTTCTTTGTGTTATAAGGTGGTAGACCCAGCCATATTGTTTGGAAGTTTCTATCCTGAATGGGAAATACCACCTTAAAAACACATATTAAGAAGAATTAATGTATTGCTTCACAATTGCCTTATCCTTACAGTGAATAAGCTCCTCAGATTTTTTTTTCTCTTTTAAAAGACAGGGTCTTACTCTGTAAGCCTGGCTGGTCTGGAACTCAGATGGCTTCATATTCCTGAGCACAGAAATTCCAGCACTCAGGAGGCAGAGGCAGATGAGTCTCTGAAAGTTCAAGGCCAATCTGATCTACATAGTGAGTTCCAGGACAGCCAGGGCTACATAGTGAGATTCTGTCTTGAAAGAAACAGAGAGAGAGGGGGAGGGAGGGAGAAAGGAAGGAAGGAAGGAAGGAAAGAAAGAAAGAAAGGAAGAAAGAAAGAAAGAAGGAAGGAAGGAAGGAAGGAAGGAAGGAAGGAAAGAAAGAAAGAAAGAAAGAAGGAAAGAAGGAAGGAAGGAAAGAAAGAAAGAAAGAAAGAAAGAAAGAAAGAAAGAAAGAAAGAAAGAAAGAAAGAAAGAAAGAAAGAAAGAAAAAGAAATATAAGGAGGCAATAATTACAGGCCTGAGCCACTGTGCCTGCCCAGGCCCCAAAGCTCATTTTCTTTCTTTCTTCCTAAAGAGGAGAGGTATTAGAGAGACTCAGTCACCCTTTTTTTTCACTCTGAACCATGGGCACTGGACCCCAGGGC